CCGCGACCCAACATTGAGCAACTACGGGACGCCGGAGTTGCCCAGGACTACGCGCAGCAGCTGGAAGTTGCACTACCCACGGAAGAGCAGCTTGGCGCAGCTTCTCTTGAAGATGGCTGGAGGGACATCCGTTCAGCCATAGGTAGTACTGCTGCAGCGGCACTAGGTACTGCAATCCCGGACCGAAGAAATGACTGGTTTGACGGCGAATGCAAACTGTTAGTAGAGGAGAAGAATGCAGCACGGGCGAGAATGCTGCAACACCGCACGAGATTGAATGTGGAGCGATACAGACAAGCGCGGAACAGACAAAACTCGGTTTTCCGAAGGAAGAAGCGTCAGCAGGAAGACCGAGATCGCGAGGCGATTGAAAATCTGTACCGCGTAAACGACACACGGAAGTTCTACGAGAAGCTAAATAGTTCGCGCAAAGGCCACGTGCCGCAAGCCGATATGTGCAAGGACTTGGACGGTAACCTTCTCACGAACGAGTGTGAGGTGATTGAGAGGTGGAAGCAGTACTATGACGAGCACCTCAACGGTGAAGCAACAGAAAACGAAGGTGGCACGGCAACAGACCTTGAAGCACGCGCAGAAGACGACAGGCTACCGGCCCCTGATCTTCAAGAAGTTGAGGAGGAGATCGGTCGACTGAAGAACAACAAAGCAACTGGTGTAGATCAACTACCAAGTGAGCTATTGAAATACGGTGGTGAAGCACTGGCTAGAGCGCTGCACTGGGTAATTGCCAAGATTTGGGAGGAGGAGATATTACCGGAGGAGTGGATGGAAGGTGTCGTATGCCCAATCTACAAAAAGGGCGACAAGTTGGATTGCTGCAACTACCGCGCGATCACACTGCTGAGCGCCGCCTACAAGGTACTCTCCCAAATTCTATGCCGCCATCTGTCACCATATGCAAGAGAGTTCGTGGGGCAATACCAGGCGGGATTCATGGGTGCCCGCGCTACCACGGACCAAATTTTCGCGATTCGGCAGGTTCTGCAGAAATGCCGCGAATACAACGTGCCCACACATCATTTGTTCATCGATTTCAAATCCGCATACGACACAATCGATCGAGATCAGCTATGGCAGATTATGCACGAGTACAGATTTCCGGATAAACTGACGCTATTGGTCAAGGCGACGATGGATCGAGTGATGTGCGTTGTTCGAGTATCGGGGACACTCTCGAGTCTCTTTGAATCTCGAAGGGGGTTACAGCAGGGTGATGGACTTTCGTGTCTGCTGTTCAACATCGCGTTAGAAGGTGTGATCAGAAAAGCTGGGATAGACACGAGTGGCACGATATTCAGGAAGTCCATCCAGCTCCTTGGTTTCGCCGATGACATTTACATTATGGCACGGAACTTTGAGATGATGGATGGCGGAAACGTACATCAGACTGAAGGCTGAAGCTAGACGGATTGGACTTGCCATCAACGCATCAAAGACAAAATACATGAAAGGAAGAGGTTCTAGGGAAGACAATGTTAGCCTCCCACCCCGAGTTCAGATTGACGGTGACGAAATCGAGGTGGTCGATGAGTTCGTGTATTTGGGCTCACTGGTGACCGCCGAAAATGATACCAGCAGAGAAATTCAAAGACGCATTATGGCAGGGAATCGTGCATACTTTGGACTCCGGAGGACGCTCCGGTCGAATAAAATTCGCCGCCGCACGAAGTTGACTGTCTACAAGACGCTGATTAGACCGGTGGTCCTTTACGGCCACGAGACCTGGACTATGCTCGTGGAGGACCAACGCGCCCTTGGTGTTTTCGAACGGAAGGTGTTGCGTACCATCTACGGTGGAGTGCAGATGGATGACGGAACGTGGAGGAGGCGAATGAACCACGAATTGCACCAGCTGCTGGGAGAACCATCCATCGTCCACATTGCAAAAATTGGGCGACTACGGTGGGCTGGGCACGTCGTAAGAATGCCGCACGACGACCCAGTGAAAATGGTTCTAGAAAGCGACCCAACAGGAACAAGAAGAAGAGGCGCGCAGCGGGCAAGGTGGATCGACCAAGTAGAAGGTGACCTGTGGACCCTTCGCAGACTACGAGGCTGGCGAACTGTGGCCATGGATCGAGTAGAGTGGAGACGACTTCTTCGGACAGCAGAGGACAACAAGGCCTTAGCCTGATTGGTAAGGTAAGTATGTTGTGTATCATTCTGAGATCTTTGAAATTCTTTTGTATCGATTGCAACCGCTGTCTCAATCCGTTTTGAAGTCTGCACTACCGGCTTTAGGTGTGATACGTTTCGATGAAACATTTTGCCCGTCTCACTTGATTGAAGTGTAGCATTCGGTCCCGATCGATTCAAGACTAGAAACTCCTCTGGATCGAAATTACTTGCTAATTTGTTTTCCTTGACCATCCTTTTAGCAATTACAACATCCCCTTCCTTCAGCGTGTTAGGTGCTGCTCGACGTCGGCCGTCTGCATACTCCATTTGTATTAGTTTCCTCTCTTGGTCTTTGTCACGTGCTTCTTCTGTCGGTCTCTATCCAATTCCTGACATTGACGGAAGTTTGTCTCGCAACACTCTTCCGAACATCAAAGCAGATGGTGCCACACCGGTTGTAGAATGAGGAGTTGAGTTGTACATGAGAAGGTACATCCGCAGATCCCATTTCCAGTCAGGATTATGATTCTTTTGGCTTATTTGTAGACGTTTTTTCAATAATAATCAATGAGAACCAAAAGGTTATGCCCAGACGGTAGAAGTCCCATAAAATCCACCGCGACATGACTTCACGTTTTATCAGGCATCTGAGTCAGGATCAAAGGTTCAGGTGGTCCCTAAGACGACACGATAGTGCAATCCTTGCAATAAATAAAATATATAATATAATATAAATAAATAAATAAATAGTTTCGAAAACTTTGAGATGATCTCGCCCTTCTGTGTTTCGTCTTGTATTTCTTGAACCGTAACAGCACTCGGTGCAACAGCTTTAGCCAAATATCTGATATGATTTTCACCTTCTGTATCAAATGCTTTGGTTTGAGATACAGACAACTTGGAGAGAGCATCTGCCAAGTTTGTGGCTCTAGCTTCGTGAATAACCTCGAAGGAATAAGATTGCAGCCGTAGGACCCACCTTTCAATCCTCATTCAGGGTTTGGAACGAGGACTGAATAGAAATTGCAGAGGTTTACAGTCGGTGCTGCACGCTGACGTCACGTTTGAACGCGATGAACCCGCATTCAGTTTGACATCCATGGTGGTTTGTTTATCTTTGCTTGTTAGTCGATTCAAGTGGATTTAAAAATATTCCTCTCCAAAAAATCTAAAAAAAAAACATTTAATAAAATTTTAATTTTTTTTTTTCTAAGTCCATGTAAACAAAACATTGTCAGATGTCAAAAACTGAGGTTAACCCGACGGTGTAGCTCCCTATGACTTACACGAAAATGATATTAGGTTCTGCAGTGTGACGTCACAATGAACTCAGTGTTAATCGGCTGAACCTTTTTGACAGTTCAGTGGTACGGTGGTACTGCTTACAAGCACTTCGTCGTTTTCTCGAAAAAAAAAAAATATTTTCAAATTTCTGAATTTTAACTTGAAAATTGTCGAGGAAATTCGAAGTGTGGAAGGAAGTGTGGTTTAAATCTCACTGCAGTCTGAAAATTTATCGAGAAAATCTACCCAAGAAAAAATCGACTAAGTCCACGTAAACAGTACCACTGAACTGTCATCCGATTGAGGTTTACCCCGGTGGTGCAAAACCTTATTACATTTTTCCATTGAATGCTAGCATAGTTGTCAGTCTGTTTGCAACCTTTCGTTGCTCGAGACTGGAATTGAGCAAGATACTCCGGGTAGCACCGGGCCGAAATACGCTGGAATAACTTCTGGGTGAGTTTCCAGTGGTCCAGACGGCGTGTTGACATGGCTTGGCTCCGGAACGGCTGGTAGGTATAAGCCTACTAGGGAATTTCCAGGCGTTAGAGCCTCAAGGTCAGTGGGATCGGATGGAATCGGTGCCAACGGTCTCGAACTGAGGCACATTTCGATCGATGTTAACAGCTTTATCATGTCCTCTTGAGGCATGCTAATGTAATTGATTTCGGAGATGATGTTTGGTCGACTTCATTTTTACCCCATCGGTTTTATTTCGGTTACAAAGCGAATATTTTTTAAATCTTCTTTCATAAGATTCAAAAGTTTACTTTTAATATTCAATTTGTATTCATGATGTAAATAGAGCTTAAAACTATCCATTTGGTTAAAGAATTTTCCATTGAATTTGTTATCATTAGTGATGAATTTCTTAATGTAGCCAAACTGCCCCATTTTCCCCTACATATTTCAACACTGCCGAAAAAAATATCTCCGCATCACCCACGTAAATACCGATGATATCGATTATCGATAATATCGATATATAGTCTGCGATGTGGTTGTGTTCTAACCAGCAAATTATGACTGTACCTAGGACTGAACCATTTTTGTTACGCACTATTCCCAGAGAGGACGACAAACAAAAGATTCAATTCGAGAAACGAAATAATCTGTTGATCGGTTTTGGCCTCGAATGGCCGCTTCCGGCACGATTGCTTAGGTTAGTGATAGGTCTAAATTATCACTTAAAGACGCGAAATAAGTTGAAAGCTAAACATCTACATTTAATAAAAGTTCTTCGAAGCACTGAAGCTTTATTCAACAACTTTTTTAAAAACCGTTGCACCTTTCTCTCTCCTTAAATCAATTTTCTCACAAAACTATCTTTGTGTTTCGCTTTCAGATGAAAACTTGAGTCGCTTTCAGTTTATGTTAATCTTTAGTTTTGCCACCAAATTGTGTACCTGATTAGAGGAAAAAGCAACGACCACGACAACGTGTACTTAGCATGTAGTGTGAACCAGCCTTAAACCCACCCCCTCCCCCCTTCATCCGGTCTCTAAACTGTTGTTCTGCTCTTACGCACGCATTCACACATCTGGCTGACATTGGACGACCACCTTACCCGAACCCAGGTGACTTCGCTGGAACGGCGCCACAGCGAACGGGAACAACGCCTACACATGCTGGTCGAAGCCCTCAGCAAGGGAGGTAAGTTGAATGGCGTTCACATTCGTGCTTTGGCTACGGCGGCAGCGGCCACCAGTGGCAACCCGAGCGCGATTGGCGACGAGGAAAACCATAACCTAGTGAATCCGCAACCGCAGTCGCACCAGCAGCAGAATGCCACCGTGGGAGGGAACTAGGTACGTGTGGGGGTTCCTAAGACTGTCAAACACGACACACCCTTCTAGATCTCAAGAAACCAAATTTTAGATTGTTCTTCTTAACCCCCGTAGCATTGTAGTGGATTATTACATTCAATTGAATCCTACTACTAGTAGTGTTTTATAGAGATTAAATGGTTCAATTTAAAAGGTTACTCTGAACTAAATACGAATAGTCCCAACTACACACTATTTAATAAGAGTCAATTTTAGGATAATTTTCAACCCTCACCGTTAGCTATAGTGATTTTGTTGTTGTTCGTTTAACTTTGTTCGTACTCATTCCAAATCATTTCCAAAGATAAGTTTCGGTAAACGGTGATTTTCGAAAGACTGCCTCGGAAAACGGAAACCGTCGGTGAACAGAACAGAACGAGGGAATCAAATTCCCAGGAAGTCCAATTCAATCTATACTTTCAACAGAACTAAGTGTAACAACTCTCGGATAAAAGGTAAGGTAGTAAGATAACAGAGAAATAGCGTCCAGTGACGGGTGCCTGCATAAGGACCCTTCTTAGAAGACTATTAGTAGGTGTTTGTAGTGCCTCTTTCGAGGGAAAGCAGTGCTGGGAGGCGTTGGTTGGTGTTTTTAAGAAAAGTCCATTCAGTCCTTAGTTTCTAAGATTAGTTGTTAGGATTTAGCATTTATGAAGTAGATAACTAGTCGCCGTTAAGTCGGTTTAAGAAACGATACTCAATTGCAGCCGTTCCGTTTTAGATTCATTAGCATTCTCTTCACAGCAATGTGTCTACATCTTATATGAGCGAATGATTGACAATAGTTTCAAGACTTTAGATAATTGATTTAGTTTGCAGCAGTTTTCTGAAAAAAAATAATTATTTCAACATGATTTAACGTCAAATACCTACGATTGGAAGTGGGAACATCTCACTTCCGGTGGCAATATCTAGTTTTGAGATAGCAATTTTATCGAATATAGTATTGAATGAAAAATTACCATCTGGGATTTTGATTATATCCGAACTATCCTTCAGGTCGATACTTGTTGTAAAATGTATGGAAATAGAGAAGCGATGGTTCCACTGTAGTTTGAGCGGCGCGTTTAAGGATGTCACTGATCTTGTTATCAAATCCGTTCGAACCTTCTTCTCGGATCAAATCTTGAAGGACGTTGGACCAGCAAAAGTAAGTAAGTTCTTATGTCTGAAGTGTCCGGTTACTTACGCGATGTACCGTATGCGTGATAATGTTTGCACCATTGAGCAATGTCAAAATTTAAAAAATTCTCAAAAATTTCGTTTTCGAGTTTTTTTTATTTATTTGTTTCCACTTGCTGCAATTACGGGCTCCACACGCTTCCGGAATAATGCAAGGCAGGTTCTAATAATGTAGTCTGGATCAATTTCTCTCCAGGTACGGGTCAATGTTTGTCTGAGGCTTGCTGTACTCGGGTGGCGTTTAGAACAGGCCTTGGCCTTCATGACGCGCCATGTAATCCAGTAATAAAGATCGGGGCTGGATGGCGGCCACATATCCTTTGCCCAGAACGGAAGATGTTCCTGCAACCACTTCTGAGTGCGGTTCGAGGTGTGGCACGAAGCCCCATCTTGTTGAAATACAACATTTGGCTTCGGATCGTACTGTTATTTGATCCACGGAAGAACATAGTTACTTAAAATCCCGATGTAGACTTCCGTGTTGACATTGTCGCCTTCTGGAATGAACACCGGGTCCATTTTTTTGCCATCGGAAGCCACCAATCCAAACACCATAACGCTAGCAGGATGCTTGGTCAGATACACGTTCTTGTGCTCGTCGGCCACGTCTTTTACCGGAAGAGAACTAATATACCGGTCGGTTCTGGAAACATGCTCTCGTCGGTGAACAGGATTACCGGATTTTTTTGCTTGAAGAAGTTCAAGATTTTCTCGCATCGTTCGACTCGTAGCTCCCGGATGCGGTTGGTAATCATGAGTTTTTTTTTTCCGTGCCCTCGACTTCGCCCGCAATCTTCCTTTACGATCTTCCGTGCCGTAAAGTCACTGATCCCGTGTTCCTTTGCCATTTTCCTTATTGAACGCACTGGATTCACCCGAATCTTCCTTTTGATAGCAGCGATAACCCTCGGAACCCGAGCTTACCTCGGACGACCTGTGGCCACCTTCGCGGATAGTTGTCCTTTCTTTTCTCGATCTAAACCCTTTTGACGGTCCACCGGGACACTCCCACAGCGATTGAAATGTATTTTTGCGACATTTGCGTGTGGGACAAATCACGAATACGCTGCCACTTGGTCATAGTGCAACTGTCAAACTAAGTAAATCATTTTCTTTTACACACAGCCTACTACGCACTACCAACAATCAATATGAAACTAACGATTTTAAATTGGCTCACCACTTTAGTAGCCTATTGGTCCCAAGCAAACGATTAACGTACCCTATTCTAGTCGAAATTCTAGTACTACGCAATGTTTGTTTTGATTCGCTATGAAAGTTTGACAGATAAAATGAGGGGTTATTGGTTTTTCCTATGTTTCGAGGGGTGATTCGACAAGCTTGGGACCGAAGATAGTACCAGAGGTGAGCCAAAAAGTTGAGCACGTTTCTTCGGAACCTACTTGTCTTAGAGTTACCTCTATGGTACTACGGTGCAGAATTAGGTCTTAGCTGCGCAGAATTATGCATTATGAATTATACCTGGGCTCCTCGGTATGGTCCACTGGGAGATCCAGGACATCTGTAAAAGTGTTAAATTCATAAAACTGATCCTAGAGCTCCATGGATTTTTCGAAACCACTCATAGACGTCTTTTCAAAATGCATTATGTATATTGAAAGATCTTTTGAATAGCAAATTTTATACCTTTTTCTTCGATTTTACCATTTTTTCTACAACTTTTTTATCACTTTCCCTTTCACTTTTTACTTTCACTATCACTTTGAACTATAACAGATACATATTTCGTTTACTAGTTTACAAGTAGTAAACAACTTTTCGTTTGCAAGTAGTAAACAAAATACGTATCTGTTATTGAACTATGATAATGATAGTGAAAATAAAGAGTCAAAGTGAATGAGTGAAAGTGAAACAAAAATAGTAGAATTAAAAGGAAAAATCTACGAAAAAGGTATACAATTATTCTACTACAACGCTTATCAATCAATTTAGATTAAATAGTTAATTATGTTATGCTAACATCAGAAAAACTGTTGTTTATCTGTCAGGTTTTGTAATAAGTAAGTTAATGATTAATTCGTTATTTCGTTATTTTGTTGGAATTTTCATTTAAATATGGCACTTCGAACATACATTTAAAAAAAATCAGGAATCGCTCTGAAAATCATCCGATTTTCGAAAAGGTGTGTCTATCTTTGTGCTCTTCTGAGCCTTCCAGTACCTCATAATCTTCGTCTTCGGTTGTCTTTTCTCGGTCGACTACTTCTTCAGTATCAACCAGCTTCAATGGTAGTACCAACAATCAATACGAAACTAACGATTTTAAATTGGCTCACTACTTGACTAGCCTATTGGTCCCAAGCAAACGATTAACGTACCCCATTCTAGTCAAAATTCTAGCACTACACAATGTTTGTTTTGATTCGCTATGAAAGTTTGACAGATAAAATGAGGGGTTAGTGGATATTCCTATGCTTCGAGGGGTGAATCGTTTAGCTTGGGACCGAAGACAGTAACAGAGCTGAGCCAAAAAGTTGAGCACGTTTCTTCGGGACCTTCTAGTCTTAGAGTTACCTCTATGGTAGTACCATAGAGGTAACTCTAAGACCAGAAGGTTCCGAAAAAAACGTTCTCAACTTTTTGGCTCAGCTCTGGTACTATCTTCGGTCCCAAGCTATTCGATGCACCCCTCGAAACATAGGAAATTCCACGAACCCCTCATTTTATCTGTCAAACCTTCATAGTGTGTTTTGATTCACTATGAAGGTTTGACATAGTGTAGTACTAGAATTTCGACTAGAAGGGAGAGTCCCGTATCCGATCGAATTGGTGGCTTACATGAATAGACTTTGAATTAGGGAAATTTTACAAAAGAGGCTATTGTTTACGTTTGCGACATTGGCCCTTATGAACACTCAGTGCCGAACTGAGATATTGAGGAGGATTTTGTCACAGATCCCCTCATCGATCTGGGTAGTTCGAGATCACCGATCACTACCTGTATAACGGGTTCAGTCCGAATAGGTGCAACCGACGTCTGACTGCGCAGCAGCAGGTTTACGGTACTTGCACGGATCAGAATTATGCAATTGAGAACACGGAGGAGGGTTCATCCCGGCGCGGACGAGATGATATGATGGGAAGCCAAAGATTGTTCAGCTTTGATTGGGATCGACCCGGAGAAGTTCAAAGTTTAAGGGTCACGACACCGTCACTCAGTTTGTATTCTTCTTCCTTTTTACAATTTTGGAGAGAGGAAGGCGAAGAGACGGAGGATTAGAAAGATGTGTTCCGGGTTGAAGACAGAGGTGATTACGATAGCAAACGAGTTTCCCGGTGAGGGAAAATGATGGTTGGGAGTGGTATAAGAGAAGTGCCGGAGTTAGGCTTCAGCTGCTGATGGGTTGTCAACTGGGGAGTGGTTTGGGGGGGATTCCGAGGTGTTTTCGCTCATATTCAGGCAGATTTACGCGACCGGAGTTCGCATGTGTGATCAATTCACTGCAGTATTTGAATAGGTCCGATTAAACTATCGGTAATGTTGTTTTATTTGTTTCCATTAGCCAAATATTTAAAAGTATCACACAGCAGATGCACTTGACGTGATCAAGAAACTGACAGAAACATAAACACTCTAAACCTTATTAAAGTAAACGGATAGATAATTTTGATAGTGAATAGTGAATGAAATCGGATGATATCGGCAGGCGCATGTTATTATTCATTATAAATCGAATTTATCCAAACAATCTGAATTAGTATGCAAATTTTATTTAAATCTGTTTAATGAAATGTAGAATGAATTACTTTCGTCCCCCTCCCCCTCCCCCCTCCCTTATTCAGACTCTCACGAGGCAATGAATGATGAGGCGGATGGCTGTTCATATTCATATGAAAATGACTCATTGAACCTGACTGTTTTGCGCACTGATCATGACGGATCTTTCTCCCACAAGATCTATTTGAATGCTTGAGGCTTGTGCCGTTTTTCTGGCACGATCTGATAGACACTCTGGGTCTCATCACCTTCTTTGCGGGTATATGTACTTGGCAATATCATCTTTTTATATTGTCATGGTGATCAATTCCAAGAAGCGAACGTCGCCGATGGAGAAATGGAAATTTTCAGGATTCTCGGAATGATCGCCGAAATATTCTTCGATGGATTCTTATCCATTTCTTTCTTGACACGATGAACACGGGCTCGCATTTCCTCCTGTATTGTGATGATGTCATCACGGAGAGCATACCTAGCGCGCCGTTTGCCGAAAGTTCGTCCAATCTTGCAATGTTCTTGATGTATGGAAGCACAACACCAATTTCATTTTGAATCCTTCCCTGAAATCATCCTATAAGAAATAAATATTTCTACAGATTATGTAGAAACGTAGCGAAATAAAACTTACAATAAAATTAATTTTGACAAAATCCAAAGCACACGATACTTCATGTTTTGACCTAAGAGGAAGAGGAGACAAATGGCTTCTTACCCTTTTATCTCTATCTCTATCTTACGCACTTCAAATCGGCCAATCACGAGCTGGTTCGCGTTTGACATTTTCGCCTCTGTATTGTCTCCTCTTCATCTTAGGTTTTAACAAGCGTTTCGTTTGAAATTAGCTTTGCGGCTTGAGAAAGTAAATGACAGTGATCTCGTTCACTGAGCAACGTGAGTTACT